AAATAAATCAAGATGTTACTTTACCTTAGAGATATCACAAGAGAATATGAGCATAAGTCCCGAACTTTGGAACCAGCAAATATATTATTAGGATAGGCTTCTCCTTGGTGTGTCTATTAGGGAATCAAGTATACCCAGGCTATTTCCACCTTAATTAGTGATACACATGAAGGTTAGAGTTAGAGAGTGTTTGCCTCATAAGGATAGGCAATAGCAATGTAGACAGGAAAGAAAAAAATATCTCAAATATCCTTACTGCTCAAAAAAGTATTTAATTTATTTACGTCTCTTTAACTGGTAAGAAAATTTTATATTAAATAGTAGAGATTAGAATAAAAGGTAAGATGATCGGCCATGTGAAAAAATAAAGATATCATAGTAGGGGATCATTGTCGGCATGACAACCCCAAATCTTGACCATGAGACAGAATATCTTGAGTGCCTACTAATTTCAGATATGTTTGTTTTCTTTCCATCCCCTTGAAATCATGGCACACTTTGGTATTTTATATTAAGCAGCGAGAGAAGGAAAATAATATAGAGAGTTGCTATACGCTTAATATTAACCCTTCTTAAACTACATAAAAAATGTAATTCGAGCAAGTAAAATTACCTTAGATTTATCTCTACTTAAAAATCAACCAGAAGGGTTGGGGATTTAGCTCAGTGGTTCCGCCACCTGCCTCACAAGCACAAGATCCTGAGTTCGATCCCCGGAACCAAAAAAAACCCCAAAAAACAATAAAAATCAACCAGAGAAATCACATATCCACACCCTTAATTCATTCAAGCAATTAAATAAGAATAAATACCATAATAATGTCTGTCATGTGATTTTGTTTAATTTGACACAAGTGCTTCTGTGGATTAGTGCTCTACAGTGAAACTCAGAAAAAGCAGAATGCAATTTTGGAATTACTTTGTGCTTTGTGTTCTGGGAAAAGCATGGAGTGTTTTAAATCTTTTTTTTCCACTCATAAAATAAAGATAATATTTGATATATCCTACTTTATTCATTTTTATATGTCTTTAAATTGCAAAAAATGACCAGTGCATATTACAGTGCAGGGGTTACACTACCTTATACTAGTGTAATGAGGATTAACAAGCTGAGAGCTGTAAAGTTTCAATGACATTTTCCATGAATTGAGCACAAATCACTTGAAGAAGCTGACTTTTTCCTCTTATATTACCTTTTACTTTGCAGAAATGGCAGCATTATAGTCCTATTTGACCTTTTTTTTGCTCAGTGGGTGTCAGATGAAAATGTAAAAGAAGAACTGATTCAAGGCATTGAAGCAAATAGGTCCAGCCAACTGATGACTTTCCATATTGATTTAAACAGCGTTGATATCACAGGTATCTCTGAACATTATTTGATTTCTTTGAATCATTAAGCTATGAAATTAAGATTCTAGCAATATACCAGAGAAGCAGTAGGATCATCCTGGACCTCAGGAGCATGTCTTATTGCCTGAGGTAACACATTTACATGAGAAAAATTGAAATATGGAGAAACCACATTTGAAGAAAATATATCAGTGAGAAAAAGTTTGTAAAATATCAAGTATCAAAAAGGTTCTGAAAATTTCAGTATGGTTAAATGTTTGTGAGTCTTGTCACATTCTTTGCAGTGGTCAAGTGCACCCGACTTTCCAAGAAGCCTCTATCAAAAAGTGCACTCATGACTTTCTGATGGAGTCATAGGGCTTATTAGATTACAAAGATATAGTATTCAATTTCTCAGTTGAAAGCTAAGAGAATGAAAATGAAGAATTAAAGAGCTTGATCAATCCCAGTTCTATATTTATAAAAATTAAAATTTATCTTTAAAATGTTAAATCATTTTTTGGCTGAGGTTGTACCTCATCTGTGCAGCACCTGCCCAGCAAGCATAAAGCCGTAGGTTCTATTCCTGGTACCAAAAAAGAAAAAAAAAAAAAAAAAGATCAAAAAGTTATAAATTATTTTTACAGTAAAAGTAAACCAAGGGAGTTTAAAAATAAACCAAGGACTTGGTAACAAAAATAACAAAAGGACAATGTCTCTATCAATGTTCAGGTTGTTTTAAATTTTCCACTCTGGTTACCTTCTATTCAAATCATTTCAACAAACACTTACATTTATGTTTTTCTTGGCTGAGAACAATAGAAATTTTCCAGTCACATCTAGATCTATAATCCCCTATCTAAAATCCTTGAAGCCACATATGATTTGGAATTTAGAAATCTGGGGATTTAAAAAAGTTCACCGGATGTACATTTGTTTTCCCAGCAGGAGGCTGGGAAGCTAAGACAAGAGGCTGAGGCAAGAGGATCTCAGTGTGAGGCCATACTGGACTATGCAGTGCGTACAAGTATTGTCTGAATTAGGTAGTGAGGCCCTGTCTCAAAAAAAGAAAGCTCATGTCCAAAATAACATCAATATATAACATCAATATTTAACATCAATATATCCAGAATAGTATTTGTATATTGATGTTAAGACAGGCATTCCGAATGGAATGGAAACAAACCCAGAGTAACCTAATGTCAGTTCAAATAGTTTTAGTTTAGAGTAAGGTAAGTCAATATAGGTTTACTTTTAAATCAAATACATAAAAACATGCAGAAGTCTGTTTTTTTTAAAACTTTCTGATAGAACATACAAAATTAAGAACTCTAGGTGCTTTTCTTTATAGTATTCTTTCATCAAGCACAGTTTCCTTTTCTATTAAGTCTCATGCTACCTACAATAGCTCTTGTTTAGTGAAGATTGCTGGTGTTCTTACTACATCCTCCTCTGATGCTTTCCTTCCCTCTCCAGAGCCACTGGAGCAGAAGTAGTCTTTTTGGATCTTTGTCAGATTCAAATGAGCTTCAAACTACTATTAGCCATTATTAACTGGCACAAGTGGTTTACCTCTCAATGTAGTTATTCATATATCAGTCCTGTTATGTGATGCCTTTATTACCAATATTTTATGAAGTAGAAAACCAAAGCACTAGTAACTTTGGTGAACTACCTAAAATCCCATGCTATTTATATTTAGATTCAGGCAATTTGATCTAGGTGATTTGATCCACATGTCTGTACTCTTAAACATTACACTAAAGATCTCTTATAATGGTTTTGTCTTTGAAAAGTGTTGATTGACTTTTTTTTTCAGTAGTCATTGTTCCTCTATAAATTTTTTTTCCTTTAATCTTTATTTTATTGTGCTTTGGATTCTGGAGGTCTGGTTTGGCAAATGAATTGACAAGAATGCTGAAATTTATTTTCATGACTCCCTACAGTTGAACAGTTTTGGAGAAGAGAGTTTATTGGTTTCAAACCTTACATATTTCTTCAAGAAAACTATATCCTTTGAGTTAACTTAGAATCAGTATTACAAATGCCATAAACTTTATTGTAATACAGGTTCAAGAATATTCTCAACAAATTCAAGCTAGAGAATATCTTTAATTTGATGAACTGCAGTAAAACATATTTAGCAACATGTCCCCAACCTTAATTTTAGTATTTATGCTTGACCTGTGTTTATATCATGTGATATTTCAAATTTACTCCATGTTCAATTAGCTAAGAATTTCATATATATATTGAATTTTATGTAGAATACTTTAAAACAAAATATAAAATTAAAATATCTTTTTGAGAAATTTATGTAAATCTTACTTTGTTATCTTCATCAATAATCTGCTACATATCATTTATAAAATTGTCATAGATCTTGTAGAAACAAGTCAAAAATTAAGCTATAATGAAATGAACAACTTGGTCAATATATGAGAATATTCTGCTTAATTTATATATCATCAATATTTTTAATGAAGTCGAATTCACTAAATGAATATTTTCATGAGACATGACTTGATTTTCTTTATAGCATGTATGGTTGACACATTGTATTTTTAAAACTGCTGGACATGTTAAATACTGAAGAAAATAGGCAGTTTTTATCATTTCTGTGAAAAGTACTTTATACTGAAATGGTGCTTAGTTCTCAGTAGAAACTACCACATGGAGAAGTAGTTTGTGATTAAGGTCTTCCTTATGTTCAGAGCAAGACCACCTGTCCTACAATCCCAAGATCTGGTATGTAATGCTACATTAATTGACTTAAATATAAACCATTTTATGGAACTACAGAATGAATAGAGACTTCTCTGGAATTAATACAAATAAAACAAAAAAATTTATACAAGTAAATTGTAGGAGCAGAATATATAGATATTGGAAATTTAGCAAATATATCACAGTTATAGAATAAATAGGAATAATATGAAAGAGGGAAAAACAGAAGTTCTAAAAGATCAAATAACTCTTCATACCGTAGAAAAAGAATAACCTCTTTAACAAATAGTTCTGGAAAAACTGATCATACATGGGCAGGAGAATCAAGTTAGACTCATATCTCTAACTTTATAAAACCAAAACAAAATGGTTCAAAGACCTAAATATAAACAGAAACAATGAAACTGCTGGAAGATAAAATAGAAAAAATACTTGAAGACATAAGCATAGGCAAGAACTTCTGAACAGAATTCTTGTAGCACAGAAAAAACACTAAGAATGAATAACTGAAATTACATTAAATCAAAAGCATCTGCATCATAAAGGAAACAATCAACAGACTGAAGAGACAACCTTCAGAACTGGAAAAAATACATATTTGACAGTCTCTGATAGAGGACAAGTATCCAGAGTAAATAAAGAACTCAAAAGAATTAGATCCCAAAAATAAAATGATCCAATCAAAACAAGGGTTAATGAAATAAATAAACACTCCTTAAAATAAGCACAAATGGCCAATAAGTTACGAAAAAGTGGTCATCATCTTTAGTCCTTAGAGAAATACAGATTAAAACAACTCTGAGATTCCATCTTACTCCACTAAGAATGACCTTTAGTAAGAACACAAAAATCAAAAATGCTGGTGAGGATGTGGGGGAAAAGAAATCCTTTTACATTGTTTGTGTGGATGTGACCTAGAAAAGTACAATCACAGAAACTGGATTTTCACTAATGAGTTAAAGACATCATGCTATAAAGATAGGTGGACACTCATGCTTATAGCAGCACAATTCATAATAGCCAAACTATATAAGCAGCCTATATGTCAAATAACAGATGAGTGGATAAAGAAAATGTGACATATTTAAGCAAACTAAAATTTGGTGGGATGTTTGAAATGCAAAGTAATACATGAATCATTAATCGAATGCTTTAAGAAATAACCCATCAGAACCCTAAAACTCATGGAGGTCTATATGGAAGATAATCCTGCCTGCAGTTGTGATTATGTATATCCATATAGCAGCCAAATATGACAAAAAAACTGTCCTTGAGCCTACATTCCTATCTCCAATGTCAAAAAACTACAGCTTCTAAAACTATATTTTAACACATTATGAAAAAAATGTCTTCAGGATTGATAATGACTAATTTCTTTAAAATCAAACTGAAAAGTAAATTTAAATGTTTTAAGAATTTATTTCCCTAAAATTTTGAAAAACAATATATATCCAAATTAATTCCCTGTTGTCTAGTTGTCTTTTAATGAATTCATTGAGTGATTCATCAAACTCACAGTTATTGAGGTATTATTAGCTGTAGAAAATGTCCTAAGAAAAATATATGGAATGAGTTAGGGGAAATAGAATCAGTGCTAAATAAACCCACAAAGGCTTGGAGTGAAGTTTTTCACCCTTGCTATGCTGAAGACAAACTTGTCAAAATTGTAGAGAATTGGCTGAATCATATGCCCAGTGTCCTCTGGATAAAAAAAAAGATGATGAATAAAGGGACAGCCAGAAAAGTATTCTACTCACCTTTCCTATATTTAGACTACAGTAGCATCAGTACACACATATCCTTGCCTTTCTCATTTTGTATGAGCAACTGATACTCATCAGAATAAACATCAAAATACAATATTAAATTATCAATCATTGAAAATACACCAGTGAATCCACCCATTGTCGAATTCTACCTTTTACTTGATCAGTGTTTCACAAACTAGACTCTTTGAACTTTGTATATATTACCTGAACAATAAAGACTAAAACATATGCGTTAAAGGGTGACTGAGAATCAAAAGAGAAATAATACATATAGTACTTGAGATAGTTAAGCTTAGTTTTCAATCTGATTTGCTTGGGAACCCTTTGGGGGATTAGCAAAACACACTTCTGAGTGTATCTGAGTGGGTCAGGGACGTGTGACCTTGGGAACTGTATCTAGTCCTTGTCTCTTCCTCTCTGGAATTGTGCTCCTGCTCTGTTTCCCACCCACCAAAAAGTGAGAAGTCTTGATCTATTCCACTCTTCTCCTATGATGTCTCTGTTTTGAAATAAGTCAACTATGGAATGAATCCT